ATTATAATATAATATAATATAATATAATATAATATAATATAATATATAAAATTATAATATAAATATAAAATACAACTATAGAATATAGTAAAAATCTAAATACACTATAAATATAATACAAATCTAAAATTATAGTAAATATGTTGAATATTAAATATATAATAATATTAAATATTAAATATCTAATGCAGTATAATAGAATAGAGTATAATAGAATAAAATATAATATTATATAATATAGTATAGTATATAAAAGTATAATATAAATATAAAAGCTGTGAAAGATAAAGAATTTTTCCTATAACAGCACCACTGACCTCCCCATTAAAACACAAGTCACGGCATGAGATAGGGAGGGAAAAAATAAGATTTCAGGTGTGAGTACCATCCTCAAAGTTGTCAAAAGCCACTTTCTTCATGATTTCCCAGGCCAGGGCTCTGGGGGGCCCAAAATGAGCAAAAAACCCTCTAAAACCAGCAAAAAAAAAATCTTCAACAAATAAAAAACCCACCAAAATCAGCAAAAAGCCACCAAACCAGTAAAAAAAACCATAAAACAACCAAAAAAACCCCCTTAAAACAAACAAACAAAAAAATAAACAAAAAAACTAACACAAAAACCAGCAAAACTCAACCAAAAAACCCCATTACCAAGGAAAAAACCCTAAACCCATCCAAAAACCTGCATAAACCCAGAAAAATAAACCAAAACTAATAATAAAAACCCTTAAAAATCAACAAAAAACCACAACACCTTCACATTCCCTCCTCTGAAAAATTCAGATTTTTTCCTATTAACAGCACCACCGACCTCCCCATTAAAACACAAGTCACGGCATGAGATAGGGAGGGAAAAAATAAGATTTCAGGTGTGAGTACCATCCTCAAAGTTGTCAAAAGCCACTTTCTTCATGATCTCCCGGGCCAGGGCCGTGGGGGGGGTGTAGCCGATGACAAAATTCAGCAGCACCGAGGGGTCCAGGGGGCCCAGGTCCGTGTTGGGCACCTCGTCGTATCTCCTGTGAGGGTGCATCATGCTCATCAGGATCAGCCAGAAGAGGAAGAACAGGGGGAAAAGCACCTCCTGGGCAAAAAAAAAGAGGAATATTTTATAATTCAGTATCTCAAATGTTGAGAAAACATCAGTGGGTGCTCATCTGGGTCAGCCAGAGCAAGAGAAACCACAGGGAAAGCATCTCCTGGATGGAAAAAAATTAAATATTTCAAAATTCAGTACTTGAAAGGGTCAAAAAAATTCATTATATGCTCATTAGGATCAACAAGAAATAGAAAAACAGAAGGAAAAGCACCTCCTGCACCAAAATAATTGAATATTTAATAATGCAGTATTTCAAAGGGTCAAAAAAATTAATTATATACTCATTAGGATAAGCCAGAATGGGAGAAACACTGAGAAAAGCAGCCTCTGCACCATAAAAAAGGAATATTTCAAATATGAACTATTTCAAAATTCAGTGTTTCAAAGGTTCCCAAATATTCATTATATTCTCATCAGGACCTGCCAGAATGGAAAAAACAGAGGGAACATCACTTCCTGCACCAAAAATTGGAATATTTCAAAAAAATTCATCCTATTTCCTGTGAGGGTGCATCGTGCTCATCAGGATCAGCCAGAACAGGAGAAACCACAAGCTCTTGGACAAAAAAAATGGAACTATTTCAAAATTAAATATCTGAAAGGGTCAAAAAAGCTCTTTATGTACCCATGAGGATCAGCCAGAATGGAAAAACAGAGGGAAAAGCACCAAAAAATATGGAATATTAAAAAAACTTCATCCTATTTCCTGTGAGGGTGCATCGTGCTCACCAGGATCAGCCAGAAGAGGAAAAACAGGGGGAAAAGCACCTCCTGGGCAAAAAAAAAGGAATATTTTATAATTCAGTATCTCAAATGTTGAGAAAACATCAGTGGGTGCTCATCTGGGTCAGCCAGAACAAGAGAAACCACAGGGAAAGCACCTCCTGGATGGAAAAAAATTAAATATTTCAAAATTCAGTATCTGAAAGGGTCAAAAATCCTCATTATATACTCATCAGGATCAGCCAGAAATAGAAAAACAGAAGGAAAAGCACCTCCTGCACCAAAATAATTGAATATTTAATAATGCAGTATTTCAAAGGGTCAAAAAAATTAATTATATACTCATTAAGATAAGCCAGAGTAGGAGAAACACTGAGAAAAGCACCCTCTGCACCAAAAAAAAGGAATATTTCAAATACGAACTATTTCAAAATTCAGTGTTTCAAAGGTTCAAAAAACTCATTATGGACTCATCAGGATCAGCCAAAACAGGAAAAATAGGAGAAAAACACTTCCTGCACCAAAAAAAAGGGAATATTTTAAAAAACCTCATATTTCCTGTGAGGGTGCATCATGCTCATCAGGATCAGCCAGAAGAGGAAAAACAGGGGGAAAAGCACCTCCTGTACGAAAAAAAATGGAATATTTTAAAATTTGGTATTTCAAATACTGAAAAAAGGTCATTATGTACTCATCAGGATCAGCCAGAAAAGGAAAAACAGAGGGAAAAGCAGCTCCTGCATCGAAAAAAGGAATATTTCATAATTTCTGTATCTCAAATGGTCAAAAAAATTCATTATAGGCTCATTAGGATCAGCCAGAATGGGAAAAACAGTGGGAAAAGCACCTTGTGCCTAAAAAAATGGAATATTTCAAAATTCAGTGTTTCAAAGGTTCCCAAATATTCATTATATTCTCATCAGGACCTGCCAGAATGGAAAAAACAGAGGGAACATCACTTCCTGCACCAAAAATTGGAATATTTCAAAAAAATTCATCCTATTTCCTGTGAGGGTGCATCGTGCTCATCAGGATCAGCCAGAACAGGAGAAACCACAAGCTCTTGGACAAAAAAAATGGAACTATTTCAAAATTAAATATCTGAAAGGGTCAAAAAAGCTCTTTATGTACCCATGAGGATCAGCCAGAATGGAAAAACAGAGGGAAAAGCACCAAAAAATATGGAATATTAAAAAAACTTCATCCTATTTCCTGTGAGGGTGCATCGTGCTCACCAGGATCAGCCAGAAGAGGAAAAACAGGGGGAAAAGCACCTCCTGGGCAAAAAAAATTGGAATATTTTACAATTCCATATCAGAAAAGGTCAAAAAAATTCATTATAAACTCGTCAGGATCAGCCAGAACAAGAGAAACCACAGGGAAAGCATGTCCTGGATGGAAAAAATGAAATATTTTAAAATTCAGTATCTGAAAGGGTCAAAAAAACTCATCATGTACTCATCAGGATCAGCCAAAACAGGAAAAATAGTGGGAAAAGCAACTTCTGCACCAAAAAATGGAATATTTTAAAATTAAGTATCTCTAGGGTCAAAAAAAAATCTTTATATACTCATCAGGATGAGCCAGAACAGGAGAAACTTTGGGAAAACACCTTCTGCATTAAAGAAATATGGAATATATCAAAATTCAATGCTTCAAAAGTTCAAAAAACTCATTAAGGACTCATCTGGATCAGCAGAACAGGAAAAATAGTGGGAAAAGCAGCGTGTGCACCAAAAAAAATGGAATATTTCACAATCCAATGTCTGAAAGGGCCAAAAAAAAATCATTATATATTCATCAGGATCAGCAGAACAGGAAAAAATAGCGAGAAAAGCACCATGTGCACCAAAAAAATGGAATATTTCAAAAAACCTCATAATATTTCCAGCTCAAAACAAAAGCTGGGAGCCACTGAAGGAGCCCAGCCAAGCTCTGCAAGGTCTCCTCTTCCTCAAAATTCATCTGAAATCATCAAAGCCTCCACACCCAGAGAAAAGAGAAAGAAATCTTTCAAAAAAGAGACATAAATATTTTTTTTTAGATAGAAATAAATATTTTAGGGGAGGTCTGAGCTCACTTCTCAGCGTGGTCACAGCTGTGGAAGCTTTGAAAGGGCACCGAGCTGGAAATATACAAGTATATTTTAAATAGATATATTTAAATATATATATTATGTATATATATTTATATTTTTTAAAACACACATATTATATATACTATATATTTTATATATATAAATATATTATAATATATATTTTTTATATATTTGATATTATTAATATGTATAATATGTACTACAGCATATGTATAACATTAAAAACTATACTAATATAATTTACTAATGCATTAATTGATATAGTATTTAAACATAATTAGAATATTTTTGACTTGCTAATACATAGTATATACTAGTTGATATAATTTACTAAAATATTAATTAACATACTCTTTTAAATAGATATATTTATAAATATATAATATTATAATATTTCTATATAACAAATGCAATACAAATATTATACAATAATACAATATTATTACATTATATATTGTATATGTATATATTTATAAACATGTAGAATTATATATATTATATTTATAATATGTAACTGCATATTTATTAAATAAATAGTATCTATTAAATATTAAATTATTTATTTAATTGTATATTTAATTGAAATGTAATTGTATATTTCTTAAATAGATAATTGTATCTATTAGATGCAATATATTATTTATTAATAATATAATTATATAACATATACATATATATGAATATAGTATATGATTATAATATGCTATTATACACAATTACTATGCCATATAATATGCATAATTATAAATATATATATTTATATATATATAATTTAGTATTCAGGGGTTTTATCTAGATAAAGCCTTACACATTAGCAGATAATTGTATTTATTAGATACAATATATTACCTATTAATAATATAATTATATAATTATACATATATATTAATATAGTATATGATTATAATATGCTATTATACACAATTACTATGCCATATAATATGCATAATTATAAATATATATATTTATATATATATAATTTAGTATTCAGGGGTTTTATCTAGATAAAGCCTTACACATTAGAATATTTTTTTTATCAAAGGATGACAGAACTCCTTCTACAAAAGCATATTTCACCCCAAAATTCAGAGCAGACCATAAAGCCTCATGATGTTTACAATAAAACTGAGTTTTGCTGTGATTTGGGAGTTATTTAAACCCCAAGTTGTAAATATATTAAATATATATATAAATAAATAGATAATATTTAATATTCAGAGTTTTTATCTGAAGCCTTACACATTAGAATATTTTTTAAACAAAGCAACACAAAACTCCTTCTAAAAAGGAATATTTCACCCCAAAATTGAGAGCAGACCATAAAGCCTCATGGGCTTCATTGCTTTATTTATTTTTATTTTAAATAAATACTTTTTGCTGTTATTTGGGAGTTCTTGAAACCCCAAGTGGTGAATAGATAGTATATATATATTGATTAGTAGATATAATTTAATATTCAGAGTTTTTATCTGAAGCCTTACATATTAGAATATTTTTTAAACAAAGCATCACAAAACCCCTCTAAAAAGGAATACTTCACCCCAAAATTCAGAGCAGACCATAAAGCCTCATGAAGTTTAAAATAAAACCAAGTTTTGCTCTGATTTGGGAGTTATTTAAGTCTCAAGTGATGAATATATTATATATATATATTAATAAATAAATAATATTTAACATTCAGGGGTTTTATCTACAGTCTTACATATTAGAATATTTTCTAAACAAAGCATCACAAAACTCCTTCTAAAAAGGAATATTTCACCCCAAAATTGAGAGCAGACCATAAAGCCTCATGGGCTTTATTTCTTTCTTTATTTTTATTTTAAAAATTAAATTTTTTGCTGTGGTTTGGGATTGTTTAGCCCAGGCCCCCACCTGGACGCTGCTCTTCTTGGTCCTGCACTTGATGAGACAGTTCTTGAAGAGCAGAGCTCGGGTCTGCCTCCACACCCCTGCTTCTCTCGGGGCACCCGGGGCCATTTTCAGGGCTGCTTGAAGAAGAAAAAAATACAAATTTTTTATTAAATGACAAAATAATTTCCCAAGCTGAGGCCGGGCAGTTGCAGCGTTCAGCGCGTTTTGGTTTGGGATTGTCACAGAAAGGTTTCACTTCCAGTTCTTCATGTTTTAGTGCTTTCTGGTCCATGTCACAGAGAAACTGGGAATGGGAGAGACTGGGAGAAACTGGGAATGGGAGAGACTGGGAATGGGAGAAACTGGGAATTGGGAATGGGAGAAACTGGGAATGAGGAATGGGAGAAACTGGGAATGAGAGAAACTGGGAACTGAGAATGGGAGAGACTGGGAAAGAGAGAAACTGGAAATGAGAGAAACTAGGAATGAGAGGAATCGGGAATGGGAGAAACTGGGAGTTGGGAATGGGAGAGATTGGGAATGAGAGAGATGAGGGACGAGAGAGATTGAAAACTGGGAATGAGAAACTGGGAAAGAGAGAATTTGGGAATGGGAAAAATTGGGAATGGGAAAAACTGGGAATGAGAGGAATTGGGAATGAGAGACTGGCAACTGCGAATAAGAGAAATGGGAATGAGAGAAACTGGGAATGAGAGAAACTGGGAACTAGAGAAACTGGAACGGGAGAGACTGGGAACGGGAGAGACTGGGAATTGGGAATGGGAGAAACTGGGAATGAGAGATGAGGGATGAGAGAGACTGACAATTGGGAATGAGAGAAACTAGGAATGAGAGGAATTGGGAATGAGAGAAACTGGGAATTGAGAATGGGAGAGATTGGGAATGAGAGAGATGAGGGATGAGAGAGATTGACAACTGGGAATGAGAGAAACTGGGAAAGAGAGAATTTGGGAATGGGAAAAATTGGGAATGGGAAAAACTGGGAATGAGAGAAACTGGGAATTGAGAATGGGAGAGATTGGGAATGAGAGAGATGAGGGACGAGAGAGATAGAAAACTGGGAATGAGAAACTGGGAAAGAGAGAATTGGGGAATGGGAAAAATTGGGAATGGGAAAAACTGGGAATGAGAGGAATTGGGAATGAGAGAAACTGGGCATTGAGAATGGGCGAGATTGGGAATGAGAGAGATGAGGGACGAGAGAGATTGAAAACTGGGAATGAGAAACTGGGAAAGAGAGAATTTGGGAATGGGAAAAATTGGGAATGGGAAAAACTGGGAATGAGAGAAACTGGGAATTGGGAATGAGAGACTGGCAACTATGAATAAGAGAAATGGGAATGAGAGAAACTGGGAATGAGAGAAACTGGGAACTAGAGAAACTGGAACGGGAGAGACTGGGAACGGGAGAGACTGGGAATTGGGAATGGGAGAAACTGGGAATTGGGAATGAGAGAAATTGGGAATGAGAGAAACTGGGAATGACAGCAATTAGGAATCCACCTGGGAATTTGGGCTGAAGATGCCTCAGGATGCCTTGGAGCCACCCTCCACCCCAGGGACCAGCAGGACCAGCTCTAGCCCAGCTCACTAGCCCTGACTTCAGCCAGGCTTTTTTCCATCTTTCCCCCGTGGATCCCAATCCCAACCACTTTAGTGGAGCACAATTCCGGGCTGCTGGCAGGAGCAGAGGCAGGGACAGCAGGGACAGCAGCCAGCTGCCCCGGGGCGAGCTGTGCAATTGGGTGTGAGTAACCCCCTTCCCTGCTGGAGCACAGCCAGCACCACTCACTCCTCCTTCAGCCTCTTTAACCTCTTCACCACCCCAGCCAGCAGTGCTGCACGTGGCCTTGGGACAGGAAAAAGAAATGAAATTAATAAATGGAATGAAATGGGAAATGTTCTTCCAGGCGATGCCTGCACGTACCTGGGGAGGGATGGAGGGATGGGGGGCTGCAAGGGTTCCTCTCTCCTGGGTTTTGCCACCCTTTTTGCTGCCTGGGGTTGGCAGTCAGGGCTCAATCTCCATCTCCCTCTGCTTCCTCACCTGGGAACGTTGGACATTTCACCTGGGAGGGTGAACAAGAACAGGAGCTGCTCAGAGGGGACAGGTGCCACACACCTCACCTCCAGCAACAGCAGTGAAAAACTGCTGGGTTTTGGCTTCTCTTCTGCCTCTGGCAAGGTCAGGATTGAGGCTCTCGAATGGTATTTTGTGTTCAGACTCAGATGTTTATTATTTCTTATCTATATTACAGTCTTGCAAGGGGTGAGTTCTGCAGTATTTCACTAACAAGACACAAAATGGCTGTAACTATCTATCTCTACAAGGCCTTTTAAAGATAAACTGTCCAATTAAGAAATTACACCTAAATTATTTTCACTTTTAACCCAACAACCAACCACCCATGCCCTGCAATGTGGATTTTTATCCAATTACACAGAACCACCCAAACCCATGGAGAAGAAGGAGAAGAAGGAGCAGCCTCTGCCCCAAAACCTCCATCTTGCTCTATATTTATTACTGTATTCTAAACCCTTAAACTATAAGTTTTCCACCCTGTGATATCACACACTTCTACCCAAACTCCACACCCACAATCCCAGTTCCTTCATTCCATTTTGGAAGCTTCTCCAGGGCCTCAGGTCAGTGCAGTGTTCTCCTGGGGGTCAGTGCCTGGCAGCACAGAAAGTCTCCAATTCTCAGCAGCCAGGACTCCAAAAAGAAACTGAGTAATCAGTTCAATCCTTCAGCCAAAACAGAGTGGAGAATGTGGAATTTATCCATATTCCAGCTTTCCAGCTCCCAGCACTCCTTCCAGAAGCAGGCTGATGTTGCTGGTGCCTGTGCAGAGCCCGGGGCTCTGAGTTATCTGTCAGACACCACATGGCTCAAACTTCCTTCCCTGGCTGGATTTTAACGGGGAAATCTTTTTTTGGAGCACAGACAGCACCTCAGGAACGGGACACAGGAAGTTCTTCAGATGTCAACACCACTATAAATACACAAATATTTTATACACAGAGCCTGTCTGAGCATGGGAGGGGTGAGAAGAGGGAAAAAGGGGCTAAAAAGAACCAAATTCCCACTCCCAGGCTGGCTCTGGGGTCCTCCATGGAGCAGTGACCCCACAAGGGATGTAGGATACAATCACTACAAGAGAATTTCTGGGAAGGAATCCCACCTCCAGCCTGGAGTGCTGCCCTCCCACTGAGACTACTTCAAAAATTAAAAATGTAAAAATACTTTGCTTAAAAAAAAAATAAAAATCCAACTACAAAATGCTTCAACCGCGAGCTAGGATAGTAACCAAGCCCTGCAGGAAAAATGAGCACAACTCCTCTGGATATTTTCAGGCAAAAAACCTTTCCTAGTGACAGCAGAGTGTTTGAAAAATAATCAAAAGCAGCGGTTCTTGCTTACAGGTCATGAAAATCATTGTGCTTCTCCCTGTGCTCACAGCATGCCCTGCAAGTGCCACTGTTTGCACATTCCAAGAGCACTCCCAGGAATAAAACTCCATCAAGGTCTCTCCTCAACAAAGGGGTCTAACCCAGCGACCCCTTCCCTCAGCCACAATATTTTAATTAAATTATAATTATTTTATTAATTATAATATTATTATTAATGAATACTGTTTTAATCAAACCCCCAAAGTGGCAAAGATTATTTAACAAGATTCAGTCATCAGTGCCAGATACTGTTTTTCTCTAATTATTTTCTATCCACTTCTAAAACCCAAAATACTCCCACATCTCCACTGGAACTCTGCCATGCTTTCATTTACGTCAGCCAGGTTGGAGGAAGGGTCATTTGAAGAATTTTAATTAATTTTTCATATTACACCTGCCACCTCCACGTAGGCTACAGAACGATGAAGGACACTGAAGAAACATCACTTGAAGGGTGAAAAATTATATTTGGGGGAGAAAAAAAAACCAACCAAAACCCTCTTTGAAACTCCAGATGAAAGAAAGGAAGACAGAGGCCGAGCAGAAAAAGCTGCCAAGGCATTTTAATTGATTAATAGCAGACAAAATGAAGATAATGTCAGCCTGTGAGACCCTGCTCAGTTCAGGCACTGCCTTGTGATTTGTGCTGCGGTGGGAAGCGGCTGACACAGGAACGCTTGTGGGCATCTCAGTCAAAGCCATCTCAAGGGAATGGCTGGGTTTGGGCTTTAATTCCCCATCAGAGATGCCAGAGATGCTTCTCAAATAATGCTCAGCTGATCCTCGGGAAGCCTCCCCTCCCTTCCCCAGGCACCAACCTGACAGCGGGCTTTAAAGGTCACATGGTGACTTAGCGCTGCACAGCACGTTTGCCTTGTCTCTCAAGCAAAAAAAAACCCCAAACCCAAAAAAAACAAACAAGAGGGGTGTCAGCCACAGCTAAATGAGCTGTGGCTCGAGGCAAAACCAACTCATCAGTGAACAACCCCATGGAAAGGCAAGAAAATGGGATTATTGATCTTGCTGCTACAAGCCGGCAGCCGAGGTGGTCCCCAAGCAAAACTCTGCTGTGCTCTTTACATTACTGAAATTGTGACTGTAACAACATGGAATAACACAAATGCTTTATGTGGCAAATAAAAAAATGGGGTGAATTTTCTCCCTTTCCTGAATTTTCTCCCTTACCAGCCCCTAAGGGGAACCCCTGCCCTGCTCAGGGCTGCAAATCCCTTCCTTCCAGACTCATCCCTGTTTCCCTGCGGGAACAAGGAATGACACGGAGCACAGCCGGGTCGGGCTGTCCCCGCACGGCTCCCGCAACATCCTCCTGCATCCCTGAGCATCCTCTGAGCATCCCCAGCAACCCTGAGCATCCTCTGCATCCCTGAGCATCCTCTGAGCGTCCCCCTGCATCCCTGAGCATCACCGAGAGTCCCGCAGCATCCCTGAGCATCCCCAGCATTCCTGAGCATCCCCGAGCATCCTCCTGCATCCCTGAGTATCTCCAGCATCCCTTAACATCCCTGAGCATCCTCTGATCATCCCCTGCATCCCTGACCATCCTCCAGCATCCCTGAGCATCCTCTGAGCATCTCCAGCACCCCGCGCATCCTCCCGCATCCCTGAGCATCCTCCTGCATCCCTGAGCATTCCTGAGCATCTCCAGCACCCCTGAGCATCCCCCTGCATCCCTGAGCATCTCCTGAGCATCCCCAGCATCCTCCCGCATCCCCACCGCGCCCCAGCCGCGGGTACCCCGCGTGTCTCACAGGGAGGACACTCGTGCTTTCCACATCTCCCTTTTCCCCCGCCCTAGAGCCCTGGAAATGCGGTTTTCTCACCGTTCTGCGCGCAGCCCCGCCGGCTCGGCTGCCCCAGCCATCGGCACCCGCGAGTAATGACGCGCACCAGGTGCAGCCCAACTCCTCCTCTTCCTCCCCGCTCCTTCCCCTTCCCGTCCCACCCGAGCCGGAGGGGCCGGGCCCGGCTGCTGCCACCGCCCCCCGGCCCGGGACCGCCCCTCGGCAGCGGAGCCGGAGAGCCCCGAACCCCCCGAACCCCGCCAGTACCCGCCGGAACCCCCTGAACCCCGCCGGTACCGCCAGTACCCCCCGGTACCTCCCGGTACCCCTTGAAGTCCGCCAGTACCCCCGGTACCCGCCGAACCCTGCCGGTACCCCCCGGTACCCTACGGTATTCCCCAGTATCCCCGGTACCCCACTGTACCTCCCAGTACCCGCCGGTCCCCCTCGGTCCCCCTCGGTACACCCGGTATCCCCGGTACCCCCACGCGCCCACCCCGGTCCGCTCCGGTCCGCAGTGCCTGCCCCTCCCTGCTGCTGACCTTCCTCCCCTCCCGGGACACCCCCGATCCAGGGATCCCCTTTCCTTCCCTCCCGAGGGCTCGGGACCCCTTCCCTCGCAGGGACACTCCTCCCTCAGGGCCCCATCCTGCAGGTAACCCCTCCTCCAAGGGATCTCCTGTTCCAAGGATTCTCTTCTCCTCATGGGGACCCCATTTTTTGTGTGACCACCTTTCCTGAGGATCCCCCTCTCCCGGGGATTCCATTCTCTGAGAGATCCCCCTCCCAGGGACCCCCATCCTGCAGGTAACTCCTCTTCCAAGGGATCCCCTCTTCCAAGGATTCTCTCCTCATGGGGACCCCATTTTTTGTGTGACCACCTTTCCTGAGGATCCCCCTCTCCCGGGGATTCCATTCTCTGAGAGATCCCCCTCCCAGGGACCCCCATCCTGCAGGTAACTCCTCTTCCAAGGGATCCCCTCTTCCAAGGATTCTCTCCTCATGGGGACCCCATTCTCCAGGTGATCGCCTCTCCTGAGGACCCCTACCCTGGGTACCCCATCCCTTGGGTGACCCCTTCCAAGGATTCTCTCCTCCTGGGGATCACATTTTCTGTATGACCACCTCTCTTGAAGACTCCCTTCTCCTGGGGATTCCATTCTCTGAGAGATCCCCCTCCCAGGGACCCCCATCCTCCAGGTAACCCCCTCCTCCGAGTGACCTCCCTCCAAGGATTCTCTCCTCCTGAGGACCACACCTTCTGGAAGAACCCCCCTTCCAGGGACACCCCCTCCTTTCTGCAGCCCCCAGGGACACCCTCCTTCCCTCTCCCAGCACAACCTTGGTGGGGAGCAGAGGAAAGGGGCTGGAAATATGTGCTGGGAGGTTTCAGGTTGGGCAGGAGCTGCCTCGCTCCATCCACTGCTCCCAGCTCCTGCCTGCATCCACAAGGTCAGCAGGATTTCATTCCATTCCCCAGAATGTAATTAAAGCATTGAAAATGCTGCCCTGAATACCAACACTGAATTCCTGCCATCTACAGAGGGGTGCTGGTTCCTGTGATGCTTCCCATGGCGTTTTCCCCCTCTGGAATCCCTGTCACCCTCTGGATGGGTCTGAGTCCCTTTTGCTGCCTTTGGGATGTGATCAACCCCACGGAGCTGTTTGCTCATCACCCTGTTCCCATCGCTGGGAGCACAGTCTGAGCACAACCCCACATGCTCTGATGTTCTGAGTGCCTCCTGTGAGCTGCTGGGAGAGGCTGAGCTGAGCAGGAATCCTGAATCCTGCTCATCCATGCTCAGGAAAACACCCAGCAGCTCCTGCTCCAGCACAGATTCACTGCTCAGATCCCTGCAGGGCTTGGGAATTCCTTGTTGGGGTTGGTTTGTGCACGAGGATCAGCACAGCAGTGACAAGCTCTGTAAGCACAGCATGCACTCCACATTTTTATCTTGGAAAACGGAGATCAGGACACTGTGTCCTCTTCTGGAAAGAAGAAAAGGATCTCACGGCACAGGATTAAGTGAAAAGCGCTGTTTGCACGAGGAGGTCTCAGCCATGCAGAAACATTTGCATCCCCTCCTTCACCCCAGCAATGGTTGGGAATACCCAGGACTGAAGCCCCAGCCTGGTCCCAGGGCCCTCGTTAGGCCCAAGCCCCACAGTGATGCCTCAGGTTCAGCTTTTCTGTTTTTCAGATTCTGTGCTGCTTTAGTGTGTAACTCTGAGTTTCATATTAAATGTTAGCAAGTTCTCTTCACAGAGCAGGGAGACAAAACAATTTATTCTCTAGCTGGGCACCAAGGACAAATGATCCAAATCTCAGCCCAAGAGCACAAACCCCGTGGGCTGGAGAGAGAAAAACAAGCAGGATGGGACTGGATGGGCTGCAGCTGGAACTGGACACTGAACTGCAATGTGCACATGGAGCAGAGCTGATCCCAGGGAGAGACCCCGGCAGCGCTCGTGCATTTTGGGACCATTTGGGTTCATCTTGGGTGCAGCCCTGGCTGGGCTCTTGTGCTGCCCCAGGTGGATCCATGGAGGAGATCCTTTGAATCAATCCCTGCTTTATTCTGTAGCTCTGTCCAGCCTCTGTTTTAGGTCAGCCTTCCCAAGGTACAAATCCCATAGAAATTTTTTTCCCTTAGTTTCCACCTTAACCAAGTGTATTAGCTCAAAGGACTCTAATTAAATAATTGCCAACAGAATACTGAGTAAATACAATGACATAACTACAACTTCAATAAACCACCCCTCCCCCCCCCCAAAAAAAAAAACTTTTTATCTTCATCCCCCAAGCATTAAACACAATAAAAGCCTGTCTGGGGCTGAATTCTTCTGGTCACTTTGTTGTGGTCTCTGTTTATACTTCAAAAGTTTAACTGCTCATATTCATTTCTACTTCTTGTGGAAGTTGGAACGAGAGGGTCTCTAGGGTTCCCTCCTGATGTTGGTTTGGCTTTTGCCTTTTTTTTTTTCTATATTCTCTGTATTTTTCACACATATATTTGTAGCTCTGTAGCCTATTGTATTAGTGGCTTGTTTTCAGTACTTTTCCATGGCCTTTCCTGAGGCAGAAAGAGAAAATAAATTCCAAAGCTCCAGGGGACACAAGGCCCCAGTGTTGTCTTGGATCTTGGGAACCAAGGCTGAGAACAACTCTTGGAGATCCAGCAGATCTGGAGGGGCTCCAGGGCAGGGGCCTGACCTGGGGGGAATTACATCACCACTTGTCCTCCTCATTGGTGCTTTTTAACCATCATGCTAATTTCCTAAAACCTAGAAATGTGTACTCATCCCTGCAGGGGTGGGCTTTGTGGACAGCTTTCCATGATTGCTCCTGAAGGCTGTCATTAAAGATCTGCTCTTTTGTTACCTTCTTACTAAAATTATTAATTAAGTTTCATTTCCAGGTTGCAGAAAGGCAACATCAAAACCACTCTATGAATCTGTGATTTGATGCTCTGCTTGTAAAGTTTGTAACTCCTGGGAGTTCAGGGTGTTTTAGCCCAACAGCTCTTCCTGAAGAGGTTCACAGCAACAAAATGTGATGGGTCTGCACAAAACACAGGAGATGGGTGCTCCAAAACACCTGGCTGTGTCATTTGGGAGGAAAACATCCCCTAAAATGTTCCTGGCAGGGGGGTGAGACGCCCCTGGCACTGGGTGCTAGTGCAGCCAGGGAAACACCAAACAGAAGCAGCACCTGAGACTCCAACCCAGCCTGCAGCACAGGGAGAGAACCTCCAGAGAGCCAGTAAACCTCAAGCACTGCGCTGCTTTTCATCTTCAAAGCACCTTCAAACCAGCACCTAATTAATTTTTACAGCAGCCCTGTGTGCTCAGGTGCCTCAAACATCGTCTCTGTTTGTGGATACAAAGAGCCAAAGGTGGTGGAATTTGTTCCAGACCAAAGGGACTCTGTGCTGAGGTGCGGGTGGGTGTTGTATTTGCACCACAAACCTGTCCAGGTTACTCTTTCAAGCAAAAGGATTTAAAGACAAAGAGGAGCAATTAATCTCTTTAAGTGGAACAGGGATCTAAACAACTCCACAAGGCAGTGGCACCAAATGATGGCAACGTCCAGTGGCTCCAGGTGCAAGAAGGCTGAGGGAGATGGGGTTGGACGCTGGAGCAGAGGAAAATGTTTCCAGTTCTCATCACTCTGGGCTGATGGACTCTGTGCATCACACAGGAGTTCCAGGGTCACAGCAGCACAGGTAGAACTGGGCTTCCCCTCTCTCTTTAAAGGATCTCCTTTCGGGGGTATTTCATTGAAATTGAAAGTTGTGCCCAGGTGCTCACTTCAGGAGCTCAGCAAACAGGACATCAGGGAAGCACAGTTCAGTGCACTGCAGAGGGAATGCATTAATTCATCCAGAAAGGAAACGACTGGCTGAATTTCCTTTCTTTCCTTTCCTTCCTTCCTTTCCTTCCTTTCCTTCCTTTCCTTTCTTTCTGTGACTCAGCCTTTTGAAAGTACAGAGGAAAAAGAAAAAAACTAAAGGCATTAAAATCACAAAGGACCATTCCCAAAATCCTTGGAGCACCCCTGCTCATGCTGTGGACAACCTGCTGTGCTGGATGTGGAGCAGAGCAGGAGGGAGGTGTCTCCAGCAGGGCAGGCTCTGCTTCTTGAAGGTAAATCTGGGAGGTTTTGTGCTGTGCAAGAGGGCGGAACAAGTTCAGTATGGAGGCAACAAATAAATGGCCAGAAATGGAACATTACCCTGGGATTTCAGGCTGGTGGATGTGGCCCTTCCATCCCCTCTGTCTGAGAAGAGCACGCCTGCTCCAACTGCCCTTCCCAGCCCTTTCAGAAGCCAAGGAACGCTGGAATGGTTTTGTGCAGTGGTGCAGAAGCTGCAGGTAAACTGCAGCTGCTCTTTCACAGCTTCTTTTTTTATCAAAGCTTTTGCAGAGCCCTTTGGGAGCCAGAGGCCCATCACAGAAATTGCTCGGATTCAAATGCAGAGAAACCCAAATTTTCCTTTAGACTTATGAACAAACTCAAGCCCTCTTCTTGCCTGTATCTTGTGACTGTTCAGTTCTCTTCTTCTTGTGCACACAGCTGGCTCAGGCACTGGCTGAGGAGATCTTCTCCACATTTACTGCAAGTGAT